ATGCTATCTGTAGGACTTGTTTTGCCTGGTTGTACTAGATATGAAAATGTTCCTTGCTTTGAGAGCATGAGCTTACATCTTTTGCCTTGGCCCCCAGGTTCCCTTCTAACATTCTCATTTGTCCATAAAGGCCAGTACTCATTTTGGAAATACTCCCCCTTCCTGAAGTTAACAGATCCAACATGCTAGCAACTAAGTACCTGACATTCCCAGCAGTTGAACACTGAGTAGGTGGTTAATGACAACTGGGATATCCATTAGAGAACTCGCAGAGGATACTTGTTCACTGTTGCCCTGGTGTGGAATTTACTGAGGACCCATCAAATATTCACATTATTCACCATTCTGCATTTCAGGATATAAAGTTCCACAGCACAAGAGAGATATTTGATATTCATTGCATAAGTAGGAAGGCTTGCTTCCAAGACCCCCCCCCCTTGTCTAAGTGGGGAGGCAGGTTTAAGCACAGGTCATGCTAATACAGTTTGATGAGGATTCTGGAATGGGTAGGAAGAGCTAACATTGAAGGACAAACAAGGAAATACTTGTGTGTGGAGGGGAACTAAGACCTGAAAAATGGTGTGGTGTGAGGTTTTAAAGAAGGAACAGGTACATATCAGCTGAAAAGGCGATTGAAATAAATACACCTGAGGTCATGTGTGGTCTGCATGTAAGGGATACAAGCAACACAAGAAAGGCGAAGGCCTGGAGCATCAGCCTGGAGACCAGTGGTTCTGGGAGCTGTCCACTGTGACTGGGATCCAAAGAATAGCCAGTTGAAAGCATCTGAGTCACCCCTGAGAACAACAGTTGCTAGGTACTAACAGACAAGGAGAGAGGAAATAGATGGCATGATTTGCTCTGAAGCAGCTGGGTGCTAAGGCCTCCCTGCTGAAAACCAAGTCCACCCTGAAACATGTCCCCAGAGTAAAGAGAACTCACAAGAAAGCCACAGCAGTGTCCCAAAGATTAATGTAGACAAGACTGCTGCTCAGGGCCTGAGACGGGTCATCTGTCAGTTTGATTGCACTGGGAAATGGCTAGATTAGGAAATCAGATCTCTCAGTGAGCTGTGAGGACATTTCAAAAGATGCTAAGACCTGGAGGCCTCGGACCTCATCCTGAATGGGCCCACTGACGGACTTAGAATTTGAGTAGACTACAGAAAGGCGTTAGAACTGCAAGATAGGGTCTAGACAGAAGAAGTGAGTCCCTGAAGCACATCTTTGGGGGTGGTGCTCCAACTTGCCCTATTATTACAAACTGCCTTTATTAGCTGCCCCACGATGCTTACTGCCCAACCCAATGTGTGTGAGCCATGCTGCCATACTGTCTCCACCACAGATGCTGGTTGTCTGAGAGTGTTCCTTCCCTCTTCACTAGGGCTCCAGATAAACAACAGCCACCAAGGTCACCCCCTCCCCCAGGAGTCAGTGACTTCCCAGTTCACTACCACAAGTCCACATGCTCTTAAGAGAGGCATGGGACAGGGGAGGAGGGGTAGGAAGGGAGATAGAGGATCTCATATTACACATCTTGCGCATTGAAGAATAAGAGAAGACAGACCACGAATGTGCAGAGCAAATGTATTTATTAGGGAAAGGTGAAAAAGAACTGCCAAGAGGGAGAGAGGCTCGAAGGGAGGCAAACCTCTGCTGCACCCTGGCAAAGGGCTCTCATTTATCTCAGGATGGAAGGTGGGGGCACACTGAGGTCATCTTTGGTATGGTTGATCCATCCTGGGCTCCTTTCAGATGGAGCTAGCATGCAGTCTACACATTCTGCACATGCTCCCTAGGCCCAAGAGGAGAGCTACTCATCCATTCAGGGGAAAGGTGATGTGTTCTACATGACTAGTTTATGGTCCACCAGGGCTCTTGCCCTCACTGCCTAAGGGACTTCACTCCTCTCACCACAATATAAGGAGATCTCTGAAATAGCCAAACCCTTGCTCCCTTAGGTTGTTTGCTACTCTTAGTCACAGCAACAGAGAAGTAATTAACACAGTGACTGAGTAACTATGACCCCACAACAATACAGAAATACAGGGATAGTGCCTCATTTGAATTAGTTCCTTCCTATGTCTTATCATTAAACTTTTCTATTTCAGCAAAATAACGGCGGTGAGAACATGGTAATTTTTCATGTATTTTTATGCATATGTTCCATTAAAAGTTGGCATCAGTATATAGCCCACTTATTTTAGCTTAGTCGTGATCTTCTAGTAAATACTTAAGTGGGTAAATCCAAAGTTAGCATTTACAAATGAAGAAAGGGAGCTGGTGGGGCTGCTACATGGAAAGTAATGATGCGTTCATGATCATTTGTGCAAACTGTGTGCGTTGGAAAAGAATGTTTCCTATGCAAGGATGGGTGGCATGTATTTGGACATTTCAGTGATTTTTTTTACGATATCACTTATAATTGGAGGTTGAAATGCTTTGCTGAACCAAGCAACACAGTATTTTGTGAACTGGCAGAGAATTAGAGCCAGCAAATGGGTACCATGTGTCCACTTCAGAACTGTGGTTGTAGGCAAATTCAGACAGAGTATGATTGATTATGATTAATTGTATTTACTTAATGGTTCTTTGTGGATAATTCCATCTAAACTTGAAGGGGGAAGGTGTGAGCAAACACCTGAGAATTATCCAAGCTAGTGGCTGAAATGTTTTCATTAATCCTTTAGATCCCCCCCTTTTTTCACCTCTTTATTCAAGAGTCTTCAAAAAGAGTAGACTGCTTTTTTCTAAGTCCTTCCAGTGATAAATTTCAAAGATTCTATGACTTACATAGAATTAAACTATAAATAGATACCACGTTAATAAGGCTACATCACCTAAACTTTTTTCCTTTTCTCAGTGACTTGTATGTTTGTAGATTAAACCAAATAGTGCTTACCGTAGGTTAGATATCTGTCTGGAGATCACAAAGGTGAAGGCCGGGGATCTGTAAGAAGTGAGGAGACCGTGTTTAATGAATACCACTTTCTTCAGGTTATTTACTGAGTATATTCTCTTTCATGGGATAGCAGGGTGCACTTACTTACTTACTGAGATAGTTATCTCTTTATGTAGCTCAAGATGGCCCACAACTTGCTATGTAGTGAGACTGGCTTCGGATTAGCACTCCTGCTTTCTCAGCCTCTCATGCATTGGGGTTACAGACATGCACCACAGCCCCCACATAGAATGTCCACTTCAAACACCTTCCAACTGAGCTTGACAGTGGGCTTACATGAACTGACATAATATTTCACATCCAGCCTCCATTTCCCTAGAACACACTGAAAATGCCATGCCTGCTTGAGTGCAGCTGGGCTAGGCCCAAGAATCTGCATTTTCACAAGCACTCCAGGTGATGTTCACCCACAGTGAAATATAAACATTACTTCCTCTAAGACCTTCCTCTTGGTGCTAGGAGCATAGTACATGTAGATACCAAATACTGAATAGTAAAGAGGGTGAGAGATAAGATTCGTGTAGCAATAGCTGATGCTGTTGGCCTTCAAGAATTTTTTTTCCCTCTTGAGTCCAGCCAGAAGCAGGGGATTAACTGACACTTTCGTTTACCCTTTATCTTTTCTGAAGGGCAAACCTTTCTACTTCGACAAATTTCTTTCTGAAAGTAGTTTCAAAGCCAATGTGTGCAGTGTTGGCAGAGCAGTGGGGACACAGGGAGGAGAGCTGTCTATAAGGGGATACATTTTCCATGAACTTTTAAATTAAATAGTGTATGAAGCTTGGAAAAGTTCAGTGTAAACTGCATTTAGAGTTTACACTAATGAGACTGAGCACATTTCCAGCTAAGACAGAGTCAATAGACAGGATGGCACTGTAATTTATTACAAGGCCATTTGATTGGAAATAAATGAAAGGATTTTAATACACTTTCAGACTGTGCTTTCCCCTGCTTTTGAAGTCCATTGAATTCTTAATGTTGATTTTCTACTTTTTGTTTTTAAAATCCAGTCCACTAAGGTCTACAAAGCTGTTTCTGCCCAAGGCTAAGCCTGTTCTAGGTGAGCTAATCAATCAATTTCCACCCATTAGGAAGGAGCGCTCAAATAAAAACCCTAACCTTTTGATGGATTTCTTAGCTGTTCGCTCAACATCTTTTTTCTAATTGGCACAATACCAAGAAAAGAGAAACAACCTTATAGTTTAGGAAAGGGGAAGTGTTCAGGTCCCCGAGAGCCATGCAGTGTCCGGGGGAAAAATGTTTCTCAGATCTGGACCTATTGATCAAGCACAGCCTCCTTTGGTGCTGATGGAATTGTTTTTAATTAAATCTTTCTAGCCCAAGTTGAAACACACACATATATTTAGGATGTAAAAGAAATGCTTCCGAAAAGCAAACTGGGGAGAAGACGTCATGGTGGGCTAAAGTGAACATCCGACTCACCAGAAGCTTTGGCACTGAACTGAACTAGTCAAAAACTTTGCTTGGTTTTTTTCTTTTCTTTTCTTTTCTTTTTTGTTTTTCATTGTTGTTGTTGTTTTTTCAGACTTAGGACTGCAGAATTGGTGCAGGTCACAGGAGAGGACCTGTGTGAGTCCATTCTGCTGTCATGTGACCTAGCCTGACTGCTAACCTAGACAACTTTGTAGAAAATGAATATGATGCTACATTTCATGAACAGGGTCTTATCACAAAGGAATTGTTGTCTCTGACCTGTGCAGAGTGATAGGATACATGAGACATAGTTGACAGGCAATCTTCAAGTTGTCAGAAGGTTTTTGTTTGGCCTCAAAATGCTGTTTCACAACTCCAGAGACTAGATTGGCATGGGATTTACTCAGTCTCTTGGACCATGGTTCCCTCACTTCCAATGGTCCCCTCTCATCCTAACTGTATCCTTAACTAATAATGGGATTAAGTAAAAAAAAAAAATGCTGTTTGGCTAAATTATTAGAAAAACTGTATTTGTTTAATTCAGTTCTGTGGTTTCAAAGGTCAAAAGTAATAAAACACTAATGCACTTGTCTTGTCTCTTTTAGGTTTTGCCAAGACAGAATAATCTCCAAGGTATGAGACAGTATACTATTCTACAATTTGTTGGCTAAATTCAGAATGATGTAGTTGCCTTTGGATTTGTTTATCTGTTTGTGGTGAGTGTGACACTCCAATGGTGACCAGAAGTGGGTATTGGTTCTGCTGTTGGTGGTGGTGATTAGAACATCCTACAAATATATATGGCTGGATCAGACCAGAAGAGAGAGTGGGGCAAAGGAAGGGAGGGAGGGAGAGCAGGGAGGTTTTCTTGCTTGATTAGTTCTTTTATGAGATAGCAGACTTTTTGTCTCTGATATTCAAAGACAGAAGACAGCTTCTTTGTGAGCCAATGAGGCAGGGCCCCACACCTCCACTGAAGCCTATTTTGGGAGAATTAAAAAGCAGAAGCCCCTCCACATAGCCCTGACTCCTCAGCTGCATAAGGCCTCCTGTCCAACTCTGCAGGACCACATTAGCCAAGTTGTTTAGCTTCCAGAAGTCTCCATAAGAACATGCTATTGCGGATGTACTAATCGTGTTATAGAACACAATAGGAACCCCTTTTGATTCCGTTAGAGGACTGGATGTAGAGGATGTGCACCATCTGGTTTGCGAAGGCAGGAATCGGTTTTCCAAAAGGGCACACATCCAAGTTCTGTTTAATGCCCGTCAGAAGGAAGAAGCATAAGCAACTCTGTTCATAATGAGATCAGTGCTGAAGCTAATAAGATGGGGTGTGTTTCCAGTGCTCGACGTTGCTCTGAAGCTACATGTTTGCAGTACATTTGGCCGCCTTGTCTTATGTGGAGGCTGGGTTTACAATTGAAAAATTTAAAGCTCTGCACGTGTTAATTGGAAAATAGAGGCATCTTTGCTGTAGAGCATCTGGCTTCCTAGGTATTAATTATGGCTCCGTCTACACGTAGAGACTAGTATTTTTAATGTCTTCTCTTATTCATCAAGTTACTTTTAGAAATGGTTAAGTTTTCAGATCCCAGGGGAAAAAAAGGAAGTTAAACTCTACTAGATACTGGGCGCTTTTTTAAAAATGTATTTTATGCTAGGTGTGCACCTGCTTGTACTCAAATTGCTTTTTTTTTTTTAACCACTGTTGCATTCTTTGAAAATTTCATGCAGTATATTTTATCATATCCTTTCCCATCTCCCAATTCCTCTCAAGCTCTCCCTCCCCACTGAACTTCATGTTTTCTTTCCCTTTAAAAACAAAATTGAAAAGGAGAAGAAAAAAGGAGATGAAAAAAGCCACACACACACACACACACACACACACACACACACACAAGCAGCAGCAGCAGCAGCAACAATAAGAAAAACATTTGAAATGTTAAATTTGAGCTGGCCAACTACTTTTGAACATAAGGCCTGCCCTGGATTGCGCTGGATATATCCAGTGTCATTCCACTGGAGAAAACGGATTTTTCTTTTCTTAGCAGCTATTATTTGTGAATAGCTCCTTTGGGGGAGGTGGGACTTTGTTTCCACAGCCCCTCCTCCATGCTGGGATTGTGTCTGGCTTGAGCTTGTACAGGTCATGTGCATGCTGTTACAGTCTCTCTGAGTTCGTATGTGTATCAGCCCTGTTCTGTCTACAAATATTGTTCCTTTAAAATCTTGTATGACCTCTGGCTGTTTCCATCCCATCTCTTGCATAGATCCCAGGACCTGGAAGCTAGACATTTTTGTCCACTGCACTCAAGAGGTAAAGGGAGGGTCAAGGACAGGCTGGGCTACATAGCAAGGCCTAATCAAAGATACAGAAAAATAGTAAGACATCTTTTAGGGGCCGTCACAGTTTATAGCAACGAACAAGAAGAAAAGGGCTTCCTATTGTTAATCATCATTGAATCCTTTTTAAAAAGATGTTTATTTAAATAATCATGAAAGCCTAGAAATGCAGCCATTTCCCTGTCCCAGAGATCTAAATGGGGCTGCTTGGAGTCACAATGACCTGCTTCCAAGGACTAATTCCTTGGCTTCCTATAAACATTTAAAATCTTCCACAGCAGTGAACATGACTTGGGAAGCTATGATACCCCCTCTCTAACTGGAGGCTGCTTCTGTATGTATCCTACAAGTCCAGCTCGCACGGATGCAGAAGGCACAATCACATGACACACAATCTCATTGAAGGTAATTACAGCTGTCACCATCAATCCAATTAAACAGGGTAACCAGCTCTAGGGAGCCAGAAGCAGCACTGGCTTTCTGACTAAATCCAGGCTTTGAGATAAGGGTGTGAGTGTGGATTTTAAATATTTTCATGTTTTGAAATACTGTTGCACATGAAAATAGATAATATTGAGAAAGTAGTTAAGTGGAAAGAGATCAAATAATTGGAGACTTTTAAGTTTCTCATTTCTGAACAGTGAGTGTGTCTGTTATTGAGCACCCTGGCTCTGGTTTCCCCTGTGCTGATTCCCCTTGCAGCCTCAGTGGTTCATGAAGTGCCATTCATTCTCTGCATTATAGCTTATGCTTCTCTGAGTGCTTCTGTAGAGTGCCTAAGGTTCCTCAAGGTACTTCACTGTGCTTGGTAGACCCTTGGTTGCTGTAGCAAATAACCAAGAGAGACAACCTAAGAGAAGAAAAGGTTGTTCCAGTCTTGGGGTTTTAGATCATCAAAGTAGGACTGCTCATATAAGGTACCCAGGAAAGAGAGAGAGAGAGACAGAGAGAAAGATCCCCATTTTCTCATTTTTCCCACATTATTCCACCTGGGCTCTTGGCCTATAGGATGATGTCCTCTTAGTCTAAGTCCTCCAAAGAAACCCCTGTAGTTTTTGCATTGAGTTGTTCATTAAATGATCTCCTTACTGTGCTCAGTCTCATCAAGTTGACAATTGGAGTTAACCATCATAGCCAAGTTGTTTTCATCTTTTCTGTTTCTTCTAAATTTTTAAAAGAAAGACTTATTCAATTATCTATTTGTGTGTGCACATGCATGAGCATATGTTTGAGCACATGCATGCCTGTGGATGCCCAAGGAGGCCAGGAAAGGGTATTGTATCACCTGGAGATGGAATTGCAAGTAGTTGTGGGTCACCGGATGAGAGTGCTAGAAATTCATCTCCCAGCTCCTCAAGAGCCGTGATCACTGTTAACTACGGAACCATCTCTTCAGTCCTTTCCTGACTAGACATGTAGATTACCAATTAGCTTCACCCCTGGCTCAGCTTTCCCAAAGACATAATCTATGTCCCGATGCTTTGGCAATGTCTGGCCCTGAAAGTGGGAGTGGGGAAAAGAACCCAATGAAAGCTACATTAAAAAGGGAAGAGAGAAAAACTCAATGAAAACTAAGATTAAGTTTCTTATCTGACTAACAGGATACAGATCAGAGAGCAAGTTAACTTGCTTAAAAGAGGCCAGGAGCATTCCATACATCTCTGTATTTATCAACTTCATATATAGAAGTTTTACTACAGTTGCTACTACAGAATGTAATTCCTAAAAGGATTCTGGAATCTATCTGATCAGATAACCCTATGCAAAAATAGAGCCTGGAAAGTCAGCATTTACTTCTTGGAAGCAGAAGTGGGAGCCTGCCTTCTCTGCCCTTGGAGAAAACTAAACAGAGATATGGTAATATCTACAGTAAAAGAAAGGAAGACAATTACCCATGGGACACCGGCATTTGCCACAGGATGAGACTGAATACACTATAGTGAATATTTGGAATTCTATCAGTATGCAACATACACTAACAATGTACTTGGTTTATCTCCAGTTCAGAGGGTGTGGTCTTCACTTCTTTTCTAAAAATGTAATTTTAGAAAGACTAGATGGATTTGATGATAGGGCCTTTAACATGCTATAAGGCTGTAAGGAGAGTTTGAATATTTGCCTAGCTTAGGCAAGGCCCTGAGTTTGATTCTCAGCAGAGGATAGATATTTTACTACTGTATAACAGTTGCCCTAACATTGCATAAGTAAATAGACAGAAGAGAAATGTATTGTTTCTGAAGGTCAGCAGTAGAGCTGCAGTACTATGCAGCCTCAGGAGGCAAAGCAAGTATCCTTGGGAACTGGATGGAAGACTCTGCACAGTCACTCATTATGAAGGCTGTTGACAACAGCTGAATTCCTCATGCATGGACCAGCACGTAGGCTACTTGAGTGTCATCAGAACATGGCATCCACCTTCACCACAGTATGAAAGAGAAGATAGAGAAAAAGAGCAACTGAGAAGATTTTATGTCCAATCTCTCAATTCTCTAGCACCAACCAGTTGTCTCACAAATCAATCACGTCAATTCTGACACCAACTCACCAAATCAACATCAACCCCAGGGTAAGCAGTCACACCTACATGACTAACCCTGCTTCAGAAGCCAGCCACACATGAGGCACTAGATCTCATACCCCTCCCCTCAGCCCCGCTTGCCTCTTCAGCAATTTGTTAAAAATTACAGAAAGTAGGGAAGTGCTTTATTCTCTACTAGGAACAAATGGAGGAGATAGAGGTGGACTAAGTCTAAGGAAGAAGTATGCCTGTGCTTTCCAGGTGTGACAGCCCCCAGTGCCTCCAGTGTGCATCTACCTGCAATCCCATGAGCCCTGTTGCCCAGGTGTGGTTAATAGATATTTTATCATATCAGAATGATTTAACAGATCAACAGTTAATAATTCAATCTCAAGTGGCTCCCTCTCCCTGAAACTTGAAAGTGGGGCTGAAAGTCCCAAGCTCTGGACCAGTTTTGCTTGCTGGCAGCTAAATCTCATCATGAGGTTATCTGGGGTTGGCTAAAACTTAACTCACTATCCTGGAGGAAATTTCATTTATGTAGTAAATACTCAGGACCAAGTCAGCTTAGAAAAGCAATAAACTATAACCACAGAGGGTACCTGGGAGAAGAGGACAGGATGCCTTCTATGGGCTGAAAAAATGATGATCCAAGTGAAAGAAAGGAGAATTGAAAATTAGGCTATCCACATACTGGAGACATATGTTTCTAGAGTTGGCTGCCCTGAGAAGCCAGAAGCTTCCAAGAATCATTGTCAGGTCCTGAAACAAAACCCAGATGTCTCCTTACTCCATAATGTCATAGTACCCTTTATGTCATATGTACTATCATTTCTGCTATATTGTGTAGGAGGGATAAAAGCCTTGGAAGCTAACTATACACCCACCATGAATTTTCTTCCATTGTTTTCAGATGTTCCAAGGAAATCTGGCATCCTCCAGAGTAAGCTTTAAAAACAACAACAACAAAATGTGAAAGTTTGGTTAGATGATTACATGCTATCCAGTTACATTACTGTACTCTTGAAGTGACCCTTGAATGTGTGAGTTGTGGAAAGAAAAGCTTTATCTGGTCCTTCAGTGGAATTTTCAGGCTTAACTGTGCCCCACTCAGACTTCTCAAGGCATCCCTGATGATGAGAGAATCACTAGGCACAAGCCATGGCTTATGGCATGCTTCTGCAAGGCTGAGCCAGGACCTCACATCCAAGACAAAGAGATGATGTGTACTGTGCCTTTTGGTGCTGAGATGGACACGATTCTAAGAAAGCACAAAGTGTGTGACACTTTTAAAAGATCTTGTCTTGATACCTTAGAAGGGGAGAAGGCTCAATGGGTAAAATGATATGTAAGCATGAGGATCTGAGTCCCCTATTCTCAGCCCTTATGTGTACTGTAAAGCTGGAGGGACAGAGATGGGTAGGTGTTGGGGGCTCATTGGGCAGCCAACCCAGTCATTCAGTAAGTTTCAATTTCAGTAAGAGGTCCTGATTCAAAACAAGAGGATTGTAAAAGGATTAAGGAAAGGCATCTCAATGTCTTCCAATGTCCCCAGTGTCATCCTCTGCTTTCCTTTTCCCCCTGCATGGGGCAAATATGTACACACGCACATAAGAGAAGAGTGGAGCAGAGAGGAGGGGTAGGAATGGACTTGGAGGATCTTACTAAAGATCTTGTGCTATGACTGAGGTCAAGAGACTGAGAAAAGTTAATTTAGGGAGAGAAAATGCATATATACTCCTGCAATACCCTATTTTCTGCAGTGCCATATATCAACAGTCAATTAAGCTCTAAAACTACTGAACAGAAAATTCCAGGAATGGCTCAGTCATAGCATTAAACTTCCCTATTCTAAGTAGCATGGTGACCCCTTCTGCTACCTTGTTCAGATTCAACCAGGATGTAAATTGCTTGTTTGTCTAGTATATGTCTAGTCCAGTGTATCCACCTTATATGTGTTACCTTTGTGGTAATTAGTCCGCATCATACTCAGCTTGAAGATCAACTGTTGATTTATTGTAGGGCTTTTCTTCAAGTAATCCTTATTTACTTAATAATATCCCCAAAGCACAAGAGCAGGGGCTCCTGGGAATGCATGGACAACAGAAGAACCTGTGAAGTCCTTCTTTTAGGAAAGAAAAGGGGGAGGGGAAATAGTCTCAATTTTATAAGGAAAGCAAAGAAATTGTATGGCGAAATATCCAAGATCTAAAATATTATTGTTGACCTCTTATAGTACCTAATTTATCAATTAAGCTTTCTCAAAGGTTTATATGTATAGAAAAATATAGCACAAAATGTTTGATACTATTTTTAATGTCACATGTCTCTGGGATCCTGTAATGTCTTCTCTAAGGACAGTGGGTCCTATAGGATGTTAAATGGTACCTGATGCCCCCACTCAGTGACTATGTACTCTAATGCGTACACATAATGTTTGCTACTACAAAGTGCTCTAGAGCTGACATATGGCCAGCCCACAGATCATGCAACAAATAGGCAATCTTAGACATTTCCTACTATCTTTTCTTCAGATAAACTAAAGCCTCTTAAGGTAAGTTACTGTACCAAGGCTATAAGTAGAGCTAGCAGCAGCAACCACTGGAATTGTTCAGCATTCGAATCATTGTCCCTTCTACCTACTCGCCCCACTATGAGGTTAGCACAATACTTTTTATTGTTATAAGTAAACATCTACTTATCTTTTATTTAAAACAAACAAACACATAGTTTGTTTGGAGTGTAGTACTGCTGATGTAGAGGAAAAGTGCTAAGGTTCTCGGGAAAATGTTTTCCCTGAGGAAGACATGCTTAAAAGGATGTCATTTCCATGCAGTGTGTCTTGCAGAACAACAAGGCTGTTACTTATGATCAGTTTTCTGGCAGATGTGGCACATCGGGAGGGGCGTGTTGGCATTACACTCTTTGACCTGCTAAGGGTTGATGAAGATCTGGAAAAAGGCACTAGTATTTGAAGAAAGAAACTGGTGAATACGTGATCATTCCACAGACAGGCGGAAGTCTAGGGAGATGGCAAGCGCATGCAGAGCTTCTGCCAAGCATTTCTGTAGCTGTTGTTTTTCTGGGCTTTTTTCTCCAGGGCTCCTTGCACTGTTATAATAATTTGGCCTCAGAGAATGTAATATATTCTCTACCCTTAAATCTATTTAGAATTTCTCCAGTTTACATGTAAACAAAGCCTGGAAAGACTCGTCTGTGTGCCAAGTGGGAGAAGAGTTGAATTCTCTGCCATTTCCTTAAAGGACTATTGCATTATTCTTACTCACATGACTTAGACTGTGGTCCACAAATTAATGATCCATGAACTGTCTTCCCTAGATAATAGGTGATCCTTTGGAGAAGAACTGGATTCATTCCTGAGCTGGAGGTTGTTTTCCCTGCAGAGAGGAATGTTCTGTAGATGAACTCGATAATGAATTTTCCCTGCATCTCTTCTGACAGGCAGAGAACAGTTCTCAAATGCCAGAGTTAGGAGATTTCCATTCAGATTGTAATGCCACCGACTATTACCAGCAAAGAGGGTGGGGTGGCATGTGTTTTACTTTTCCCTTTACTTTCTTTTATAATTTATTTCAAAATAACAGGTTGTCAAGAACTCACAAGAATCAAACAAACCTCTCATGTTTGGGTGTGAACATACATGTTATTATTTCCAATGGGTGGATATTACTTATAAATCATAGAAGTCCCTTAATACAATCTCTCTCCATGTCTACATTCAAGAAGACTTAGGGCCAATGTCCTACCTTCGGGCATTTCAGCAGCCTTGTGTTTCTGGTACAACTGAATGAACTGTGCACCCTGAGTCTGAGCCGTTTCCCTTGAGTTCCTTTATACTCTCTAAGAATCTCCTCTAAGAGAAAGCTATGTGTCATATGAAAATTATCATAGAATACATTTACTCTTCATGTTACTAAGGGACACTATGCTTTTGCTTGTCTGTATATGTGTATTTAATTTGGGTTATACTTTTATTTTTTCAAAATGGGCAGATAGTTCCTGTTTAATCTGTTCTTTATGCATTCTTCCAGCTTACATCAACCATCAATGCTGTATCTTAAAATAATACTCTGAATTTTCATTGACTGTCAGGCATAGAATGTTCAAATGGCTGCTCAAGTCATGTTAGATAGAATCATGTAACATGTAGACTGGAGTAGCTACAAGGTTTGTGACCATACCTATATACATACACCTTCATAGTCCATCCCCTATAGCTTCAAAAAAGTGAAACTTTGGAAAAATAAAATGAGAAGATTGATAAGGAGGGAAGCAGGCATACACAAAGAGCCTATGCTGTGAACCTACACCATAAGCCTACACCATGGGTCTACACCATAGGTCTATACCATAAGCCTATACCATGGGTCCACACCATGAGCCTATACCATGAGTGTTCTCCATGAGCCTATACTATAAGCCTACACAATAGGCCTACACAATAAGCCTACACTATGGGTCTACACTATAAACTTATACCATGAGCCTAAACCTTGAGCCTACACCATGGGCCTACACCATAGGTCTACACTGTCTTGACCCAGCATGTTTTAGCCTTAATCCATGAGGTTCAGCCTGAGTGGGGGTGTTTGGACCTGGAAGCGCCTAGCAACCCAACGGCAATAAAGACCAAACACAGGCATCTTGTCATCTTTAGAGAGCTCTCAGTTCCATGTTGTAGAACTAGAGTCATTTCTTTATTAGCTGTCTTTTCTGGTGTTTCTTAAGCGCCCTGTCATGACCACAAGGGAACCATTTCTCTCTTTGTTCTCTCTGCTCTGGTCTCTTGCCCCTAACTCCTGTCCTCCCTAGTCACTCACACATCTCTGGCACCTCTGCCCAGGTGGAGGCCTATTCAGATGCTTAGGCCCACAGAGATGCAAATAGGAGGCATATTACCCTGAGGCCATAGTAAACAATAGTAGCCTTACTGGCATTAACAATACAATAGTGGGTTGGAGCTTTCTGGTGTTCCTGTTTAGTGAAACCCAAGGCTGGATCTCAAAATATTCCATAGCGGAAATATTTTGGTCCCCCACACTACACCATGATCCTACACTATGGGCCTACATCATGATCTTACACCATAGGCCTACACTATAGGTCTACACCATGATCTTACACCATGAGCCTATACCATAAGCCTATAACATGGGCCTACACCATGAGCCTATACCAAGAGACTACACCATGACTATACTCCATGCTTCAGCACTACAAAAACAAATACCTTGGGCCTGGGAAGAAGACTCTGTGTGTAAGAGCTCTTGCTGTGAAAGCAAGAGGATCTGTGCTGAGCTCCAATCTTCATCACCCACACAATAGCCAAGCTTGGTCAAGTGCACTTGCAATCCCAGTAATGAGGCAAAGAGGCGGGAAGATCTCTCTCATTGATCAGTCATCCTAACTAGAACAGTGACCTTCCGATTCAGTGGAAAAACCCTGCCTCAAGGAACAAAGGCAAAGGCCACCCAAGTATTTCTCCAGCACTTGCATGCATGCAAACTGGCATGAACACCTCCCTGTGGACACACACACACACACACACACACACACACACACACACACATACACACATCATTTCAGGGCTTGCAAAAGAAGCAAAAGACAGAGTTTATCATGTTCCTGTGCATTCAGAGCTAGGCATGGAGCAAAAATCTGATTCACAAATTCAGCAGTTAAAAGAGAGAAAACAGAACCTCTTTAGAGGCATTCCCCCAGCTCTTTCCAACTTTGTTGGCTTAAGCTGCCTCTCCTTGGAGCATCCCCCTTAGAGATTTAAAAGAACTTTTGCAGGTCTTAATTGACACGAAAGGAGTTCTTTGAACCTTACTGCTTGCTTCTAAAATTTATTTGAAATTTAAGTCTTTCTGCACTAAAGCAGCAAATATATGTGATATGCAAATTCTAGGACTTACTAAATCTAAATACCTGTAACCCAATTAACCCTGAGTCACCCCCTGCTTCTTCCTTATCCTGGAAACATGACTAGTCCTGGGGGAAGAGTGATTCCTGAAAGGTTCAGGCATTATGTTGGCCTGCCCCTGTTAACTGGTTGAACAGGCAGTACCCTGGTCAGCCCAAGGTTCCATGGGAACTAAGTCTGCACGCAGGTGCAAAGGACCCCTTTAAAAGATAGGCCCCTGCCCATTTATGCTCTCTGCTTTCTCTGTTCCCCGCTCTGCTTTGTCTCTACTCTGTCTCCCACCTATGCTCTCGCTCTGTCTCTCTATGGCAACCAGCCATGGTGGTCAGCCATTCCCCCTGTTCCTCTTCTTAGTCTCCCCATTCTGCCGGGCCTTATTATAGATGTATAGACTTATGTCTCATGTCTCAGCATTTCTCTTTTCTTCTTTTTAAACAAAACAATAACAATTCCAATATCATCCTCTTAGGAGATGGGGATGTGAGTGGTGACCAGGACACAGGCTGGCCCCTTGTGCTTGGAAGAGGGCTGTGGGGCAGGTGGGAGCTTGCCTTTCTGCTTTTGTGGCTAAAGGGCCAAATTCTGGTACCTAGCTCTTGAGAAAGTAAATTTGTGCTCTTTACAAACTACTCAGTCTCAGTCATTTTCTTGAAGTAAGGTAGCAGAAAAGACAAGCAGCTTACCACTCACTGTTCCTGCAGGGACTCCAGTGTTCCAGAGCTACTCCCCTTCAGATTCCTCCTGGAAAATCCCAAGTGATGTCATACGCACAGAACCAGCTTTCACCACACTAGCATAACTTTTGCCAAGGCTCTCAGGAGTAACAGTCTATCTCACTACACTGCTGCTGTACCAAACCTTGCCACACCTACCAACACTGTGTAGAAGCTATTCTGCTAAGTCCAGCTAAGGTCCATATTTTACATCATACATATGTTTTCTCACAGAGGCTACTTTGAAGGAATTGAAGTTTTGCTATAGCATAACTGAGATTTGAAGAAGAATTCTGAAGAATTACTTCTTGTCTGGGAATGAGGTTCAGTTGGTAGAATGTTTGCCTAGCATGTATGATGTTCTGGGTTCTAATCCCAACACCAGATTAAAGGTGGCACATGCCTTTACTTCCAGCATTCAGGAGGCAGAAGCAGGATCTCTATGAATTCAAGACAAGCTTAATCTATATAGTGAGCTCCAGACCAGCTAAACTTTCATAGTAAGAACTTATCACAAAACAAACAGTAAAACAAAAATCCAATTGGTTGTGGTAAGAATGCCTATAATTCCAACATTTAGGAGGTAAAGGCAAGAGAATCAGGTGTGAAGGTCATCCCCTCAGCTACATAACAAGATCTAGGCTAGCCTAGACTAAATTTCTTGGCTTCCAATGAGTTAGTTAGCTTAATATAAAGGTTATTTTACATTTATTCTTCCAATGTTTTCTTCTCTTGGGGCATAGTCATGCTTCCAGGGCACCTAAGGCCTAAACCTGACTAAAGTCTTAGTCATCACATTATCTTCTAATTCCCTAGTCCTCATAACACCTAGTTTTAGCCACCCTCCAGGAAACTGCTCCTCTGTGCTTCAGGGCACCTAACAGCTCACATGAGCTAGATGATGTCAATGGAGTCTCTTCTTGTTAGGACAAGTTTTTTCTGAGAGAGTGGTTAATATTTACCAGCTCTCCACCATAGCTGCAACAGCCCCTACTATCACCAAGTAATTTCTACAAATATTTCCAACTTTATTTGAATTCCCACAATAGATTTATTTTTAACCACACCCCATTCCTTAAAAAGGTTTAATAAGAAATGAGGTTTAATAAGAATAATTGTTTCTTTATATCCCTTTTGTGACTGTGCTAAAAATTCACAGAGCTGTCTGGACCTTTGTGGTAATGAGTTACAAATTGAGGCTTTATGTAAAATCCTGACCACATATGTTTACATATAGAGTTTTTCACTCTTCTGAATAAATCCTTCTTCATTCCTAGATGCCTTGTCTTATTTCTAGCATAGTAATTTATTTTTGTTACCGATTTCTTCTAAAACATTTGATATGTAATAAGTAGCAGTATTCCCCCACCTTGGTGTGAGTGGAGATGTGTCTTAACCGCTTTGCTTTTGGGCAAAATGCACCATGTGACTGCAGGGTCCTCTTAAAATTGACATAAACATGGCATGTAGTGTCAATGAAAAATCTCCTCTGTGAAGCCAGGAAGGGCTACATACACCCATATGCATAGTTCTCCCCTCATCACAGACACACACATACACCCGCACGCACGCACGCACGCACGCACGCACGCACATACACAATCACTCATAGGGCCAAGTAGCAACAAACTAAACCCTCTGAAATTATAAACCAAAGTAGTCTTTGTTTCCTTAAGTTGTTTCAATTTGGTCACTGAGTTGTTTAATGAATGATTATATATCAAATGACATTTCAAAAAGTTCAAGACAGTCGGGCATTGGTGGCTCATGCCTTTAATCCCAGCACTCGGGAGGCAGAGGCAGGAGGATCTATGTGAGTTCGAGGCCAGCCTGGTCTCAAGAGTGAGTGTCAGGATAGGCTCCAAATCTAAAAAGAAAAACCCTGGCTCAAAAAACCAAAAAAAAAAAAAAAAAAAAAAGTTCAAGACAATTAGATTTGTTTAGAGTATATGTCTTTCTATACAAAATAATACACAGATGATGGAGGACCTGTCAGCTTTCTGACAGTTTGCAGTAACCATTAATGAAAGTATGTATAATTCTATGATAATGAGAGCAACAGCAAAGAGTCCAGTTGTTGTTGTTATATATAATAATCAGTTTTTTCTTCCTTACCCTCTCCTTTACACAATACCCACATTCATATACATTATACACCCATACCCATATACACACATACTCATATATCCACACACTCATAAACCCACATACATTTATACACAGTATACACCCATATACATACAAAACTCACACACTCATATATCCATATATATTCATACACACATACACTCAAATACCCACACCCTTACACACTCACATAAACACATACATTCACACACACATACATGCTATATCAAGTCATTATCAGTCTTTTAGCTGCATGGTAATTTTTTATATCACAAATCTCTAATGATCAAGGAATCATTTGATGATGAAAATATATTTTTATGGAAAACAATCATGTGTTAACAGTCCTTCCATAATTTTTAGTGATACAGAAAATATTCCAACTTATACAGTAAGGTAAAACCAGATTATAAGACTATACACAACATAAGAAAAATGTGTGTTTACATATGTAAAATGTAATTACAGGAATTTTAAAACATTTTCCTACAATGTCCGTATTCCCTCTAACAACATATTAATTTGATGAAGAAAAATGAGATGTCATAAAAGAAAGGAACTCATAATGACTAAGGTAATTAAGACACACGTTAATGGCTTGCAGGGCTGTGGTGGAACACTAGAAAAGTGATGAGGTTTCTAAGGAAGGGAAACTCATCCCAAGAGTCTCTAGGGCGAAACCTGACAAATTGGTACCTTGAAGTTATGTCTTAAAAAACTAGAGGTTTGATTAAGTCAGGGCACAGTGGTGACATTTGAGAGAAGTCCGTGCAACCTGGAGAACATCAAATATAAGATTAGAGCCAAGAATCAAGGAACACAGGGAGAGCTTCAGGCCTGAGCCCTTCCAGAGTTCTGATGAGCGCGTCTGTGGAAGTGCGGTTCCTCAGCTCCTCTGCTGAGCCTTGAGGGTGATTCTCAGATTTCAAACTGGAGTGTTTTTGAGAGAATAGTATGCTGTGTTACAAACTTAAAAGTCAAGTGCTAAGCTTCATGTTGTTCCTGGGTGTTAGTATTCGGGCATCTGTACTGGCCTGCCCTTGGGGTTCTGGCAGGATATAGCCTCAGCTGCAGCAGCTAAGAGCACCCCTTATGCACATTCACTATGCTCCCTTTTAAAAGGGCCCTGCCCATCTTTCTCCCCCTCCCTCCTTCCCTCTCTTTCTCCTTTTCTTCCACCACTCTTTTCCCCAGGAGCCTGTCTGTGCCCCCCTCCTGCCCCTTTTCTGCCCCTTCTCTCTCTCCTTCCAATAAACCTCCCATGTGAGTCCTGTTGTATGGCATGACTTCTCTTCACTTTAAAAAAAAAATTACAAAACTGGGGTCACAAGATCATCCCTGTGAATATTTGGATAGGTATTTGCAAAGAGATGAGCCTGAAGTTATAGGGGCCAAATCTCAGGGCCCATACGATTAAGACAGAACATTCCAGTTAGAAAATAAGCAATTCTGAGAATGCAGTATATATGTGCTGCAATCACCAGTCCCCTCCTGACTGAGCAGAAGAAACCTGCTAAATTAACACAATAAATTATTGCACTGAGTTTTCCCTTAAAACCGGTGTGATGTAGACAGCCCTTATCCAAAATAATTCTGGGAGAACCGAGACTGTTACAGCCTTGTGTTCCTTTTCAAATGTATGTATGAATGTATACATACTGGATGTATACACACTGGATCTCTGCTGCAGGGTCCAGCTGACTTGAAGCCCTTCTGTCTGTCTCTTGCATCGTGTCTGCCTTTGGAAGTGTTTGTTAGTCTTGTATCAGAAAGAAATGATCCAAGGAACTCTCTTATAAGTGAAGAGTATTGGCTTTTCACCCAGACTCAGCAAAACTGTTCAGACAACTGAATGGCTTCTGTGGTAACTTGTATAAGAATGCCTTTTCCACCCCTGCACCCCTAAGGCTCATATATTTGAATGTAAATCACCAGGGAGTGGAACTGTTTGAAAGGATTAGAAGGATTAGGAGGTATGATCTTGTTGGAGGAAGTATATCACTGGGGGTGGTCTTTGAGGTATCAAAAGTCTATATCAGGCCCAGGCTCTCTCTCTCTCTCTCTCTCTCTCTCTCTCTCTCTCTCTCTCTCTGCCTATGAGGATCAGGACACAGAACTCTCAACTACTGCTTCAGCTCCTGCCTGCATGCTGCCATGCTCCCTTACCATGATGATAAGGGATAAGGGACTAAAACTCTGAAACTATATGCAAGCCCCCAGTTAAATGCTTTCTCTTATGAGAGATGGCTTTGTCATAGTATCTCTTCATAGCCATAGAACAATGACCAAGACAAACACCTTGGTCTTCTTTTTCTCCTTGTTTTATTCTGGATTACTAAGATTGACAAAAAGTTACTTCTTACAAATGCAGTGATAGCAAACCATTATTTCTGGGCAATTTGGTGTGTAAGCACAGGGTGTGTAAGCACAGCTTTTATAGCTGCCTATCTAGATCAACAGAATTCAAAAATGTTAAACATGTTTTAGAGTAATTGTAAATGTGTTTATGAAAAAACACACAGATAAGTTTTCATGGAAATGAATGTTAAAGTCATACGAAGCCTAGAAGGACAAATACTTTCTCACTGTTTCTGAGAGAATGAACACCACTAATTATTCAAAAGTCAAGGGAAGTTTAAAATTTAGGAAGTTTTTAACTTTTTAAAATAAAAAACATACATGTAAGAGGCTGGGAAGTGGCTCAGTCAGCAAAATGTCTGCCGTGTAAGCATGAGGATGTGAGTTCTGATCCCTACTACTGGGTTCCTTGACATTCATCTGTCACTCTAGCATTAGGGGAGGGAGGGTGGAAGTATATCTAGAGATCACTAGCCTGCCAGTCAGGAAAACAAGGAGCTCCAGGATCAGGGAAACATCTTATTTCAAAAGATAAGATGGAGGATGATCAAGGAAGATATTTACATCCAGCATATGTGCCCACAACTACAAACACACACACACACACACACACACACACACACACACACACGATTACATATAATACTGGTGTGGATAGAGCACTGAGGTCATCCTTCCCCCATATACTCTTTTACTCTTTTAGTTTAAGCAGATTTCACCTCAAGTCATCTATTCTATTCCTCCAATTCATGGGGAAGGGCAGGCTTGGCCCTTATTGGTTCTTCAGGAAATACATGGAGTTTTGGCTACATTTCTAGCACCATTTTCCTAATGTTTGATTCATTTCTAATCAGATAGGACTTGCACTCTTTTTTTATGATAAATCTTTTTGCCAAAAGCTGCCTGAGCCCCACCGCATCGTGTGAGCTTACGCCAGCCGCCCGCCCGAGTTAGGCCCAAATGAATACACAGAGACTTGTATTAGTTACAAAGCTGCTTGGCCAATGACTAGGATTCTCATTTGTTAGCTCAGTCTCAATTACCATACATCTATATATTTTATGGGACTTATCTTATCAGACGCCTTATTGGCGTCTCTCCTTGCTGGTGAATCACATCATGCCACTGGAGCAGGAGCAGAGGGGAAAAGAGAGCAACACTTCCTTTTTCCTCTTCTTAAATATGAGTCTCCTTGCTATGTCACTTCCTGTCTGGAACACCACTTCTCTACTACATTTCCCAGAATCCTCTTTGACTCCTAGTCCAGCCTAACCTGCTGTCTCATTGGCCAAGCAAGTACTTTATTTATAAACATACACAGAAGTATTTCCCCCATCACTCTTTCGTGCATCAGGTGTTCTTCCTAGACACCATGGATACAAGCAGGAAAAACATGGACAAGATCTTGTTTGGAGAGCTTGTAATCTTCCTTAAGGAGTTAGCAAAAGCTGCATGGCTATACAGAAACACCTGTAGTGCTCTATTTGGGACTGTGAAAGAGATGAGCAATACTTGGTTTTTGTTGTCATGAAGCTTACAAGTCAAGCTGTAAATAAAGATGTTTATGTTAGAAGTCACCCAACCTCTGGTTTTAATTTGTTTGGTTTGGTTTGAAACAGGATCTGACTATATAGCCTTGGCTGGCCTTGAACTCACTATGTAGACCAAGCTGGCTTCCAACTAACAGAGAGACCTTCCTGCCTCTGCCTCATGAGTATTGAGTTTAAAGAAATATGTGTCATCACATGCAGCCAAATCTCTGACTTTAAAATGAATATTATTCAGGGAGTATTTAAGCAGTGCAATTAGAACTAATTAGCACCATCACTGCTAAGTGCTGGTTAAGCCTTTTCATATCTTGTTTTAATTTCTGTTTTAAATGCTGGCTAATTCATCACTGTAGAGATCTGAATGATGGCCTTAAAGGAACCCTAACAAAATAGAACAATATCTAAAGCCAGTGTAGATTGGCTTCAGGAGAAACACACACATACACTGACCTCAAACCTAGGAGCACAGTGTATCCCATTCTACTTCCCTGGGCTATCAAGAATCAGGGCACATATTTGCAGCAGCTGAGTCATGATGGACAGCTACTCTGTCTACAGTTCAGACAGGACAGCACTGCCACTGTTGATTGTGCCAAATGTTAAGCTCCTTCCTTAAATCAAGAATCTGAATTTAATTCTTTGCAGTTGTGTCTTTGTCCTCCAAGAAAATAGAGCTTCCTGTCTTAAGTGGCCCAACCTGGATTCTAGCTTAACCCATAACATCTAAACAATCATCCAGGTGGTGCTCCTCCCTCTCCACTCTCTTCTAAACACCCAACCTCAGACCTTCTGGTCTTCCTAATTATTGTTGCTCACACATCACCCC